GGCCGTGAAAAACTTTCTATTTTTATATTTCGTTCACAAAGTCTCGCTTACTCCAAAATACGGCAATACGAAATGTGACAACGCAAAAAGGGAACAGATCCACCGCGGTAAAGTCGAACTGCGACGCTGTGAAGTCTAAACGATCTACCTTTGCATCGCGCTACGCGGCCAGCGCATTAGTGACATGTTTCAGCCAATGTCGAAGTTCTGATATTCGCGCCCCCTGAAAAATGCGCGTTGGCGCGAAAAGGGTATGAAGATAAGCGCAAGTTGTACGTTTAAGGTCGTTGGAACACCTCCAAAATGGGCAAACCAGATGCATTTTGCCTCCGGAATTATATTCGCTAAACCTTCTTTCGCGCACCTTTTACTGTACCCCGCCTCAACAGCTGGTTGGTCGCAGGGCTGTTGTTTCTCTGATACTCTAGGCAACCACGGCAATCGCCTACTATCGAATGAGAATTCATTTCTATTCGACTTACTGCTACAACCTACTGGGGTCCTGCAGCAGTGAAGCTCTGTAAACCACTTTTTGTTGGCCTCATACTGCCAGGGGCTTTTCTTTCTTCATGTTGGGGTTTGAAGTGTTCTAACTGTGCGATGCGGTACCGCCGTTTGGTTCCAATAGATAGATTGGCTTTGCCAAATCAAATGGAGAGATTAAGTTGAGCTGTTGTCGTGTTGTGCTTTAGCCGGCAGAGACAGTGGGGCCTCATTGGTCCTGCCCGTTTCATATGACCGCACCGAGAGCAATCTGGTATTTTGAAACGTTTGAAATGACGTTTGCTCTTAGGAAGGCGTGTTTTTTGTCCAATCTAGCGTCTGGGTTGTGTCTCTTGAATTGTTGTCGTGATAAGTAGTGCGAAATAGGACACAGACAGGCCAGGGACGAATGTACATTTCTGATGGTGGAAAGTACTAGATTTATGACATATATATGTAATATAAAATTAAAAAAGACATGTATACTGATTACTTCTTCCCGCTGACAGACTAATAGAATACAATATGTAATGCAAACGTAACATGCGTTCCTGTGTAATGTACGTATTTGTCAGGTGTCGTAGCCTGTAGAATTGAGAAAACAGGTGGCATTTACTGGTATGGTTTTTTAAGAAGCAATTACGTCAGAGGAAGTGAATAATTAGTATTGAACGGTTGAGATGAATATAAACAACAACTTCGTAGCATTATATAAACAAGTGTAAAGTTTTGTAGGTGATACGGTGCCTAGAATTAAAATAGGCCTGTTATTACTGATCAATATTACATATATGCAGTTCTGCTGCACTACCTGCTTTTACATAACAAAACAAAGGCAATTACACATGAGGAAGCGGGACCTTTCTTCATCGATTTCACGCTTGCTACACCAACTGGCGTTCATGATCTGGCCATCGTGCTCGTAAACAGAAAATAATTTAACTTAACCGCATGATCCGTATTGCGTTGCCTTACGTAAAAGTCTCCGGTGCTTATGTTCTGTGTGTTATGTTTCTCATGGAGAATGGGACAAAGTCTGTCAAGGACGCGGCCAGCCAGGAGCCTATTTTTCGTATTTCCAGGATCATATCCCAACCGGCCCTCCTTCGAGTCAACAGCCGGTCCAGTGCCCGGAATACCTCGAGCCACTGAGTACATTCATCTCCTTTCTGCCTTTGTGTTATACTCTAGCCGACGATTCCCAGTTCAAGTCTGGGAAGTAATCGTTGCTTGCTGGGATCTTCAATCCCAAATATCCTTACTCCGGCTAAGTCTCGCTGAAAGCATTTCGAAAGGTAAGTCAATTGGGTGAAAACGGATAAATGAACTTGGACGACATTACGGCGAAAATTGCCGTCGCATCAAAAGCGGCTTTTGCCGCAGTTGTACTGGCAGCGCTTCTACGGAAATAGTGACGGTCCCCCTTCGGGACACTGGCAAATCTGAGGGGATCCCGATTTAATACTCGTAGATTTACAGAATATACGGCAATTATAGCACTATTAGTGATAATATTGAAATAGTATATCAGGCAATTTGCTTTGGGTGTCTGAACTTCTGTGAACTGTAGCACTGATAGTGGCAGATGCGGAATGTATCTGGCTGTTGGCTGAGAAGGTGGCAACGGCCACGAGATTGGTTTGGCAATGGGAGCCTAAACTAGGGTCGTGTTGAAGGTGCTCAATGAGCCATATACAGCATGGATGTTGCTTGTCAACTAATTTTAGCTAGCGTTGTACAGCGCATATAAAAGAAACGAATTACGCACCGTTCCTTGAACTGACCTAGACCTAGTGTGCTGGACTTATTCTCTGTCTGAACCGATTCCTAGGCAAGGTCATGAATCCGCTTGTGTCTATCTGCTTATCTACGGTTACTGATAGGAATGGTGCTGCTTGTATTCTCATTTGAAACGGATACATTTTTATTTACGGACAATTTATAGATGTGTTGCAGATGTATACCTTACATATATGTAATATGATTGGTAATTGCTATAAATGGCTATATAGATAGCACTGCATTAGCTGAACATGCGCTTGTCATTCAATTGGTTGGTTGATATTTAAACCTGAAATTTATTTTTACCGCATTATGTTTACCGCATATATATCGCACAAATGTGGGTCGTAAAATTGTCTTATGATATCCTCCCCAATTTAGCGGTACGGCAATATCCGAAAGTAATGGGCAATGCGGCCCATGTGCATACACATGTAAATACTACGGTAATAGCTAACGTGCCGTAAGAGCTGGAGATGACTAAGAACAGTAAAGCCTTAGATAATTACTTGACCAGCCTTCTCATTATCTATTGACATAAGTATCAGCACAAATCGAACCTCCAGCTGTTCGCTTTCTCCCTTCGCCTGCCTCCCCTTGACCGAGTCGTATGTATCGTACCTGCTGTTACGAGTATTAGCAGTACTACGGGACGAAGTGTTAGAAGAGATTTTGGCTGTCTCGCTACCGAGTAAATGAGGAGGGTTGCTTAGCAATGTACGCTGAATCATATGCTAGCAGGAACCGCACTGGCAGCAACAAGGAAAAGCTTATCACACTTATCAACAACGACGACCGACTGTATTGTTTAACCCGTTGATGAGTCGTCCGTGGGTGAAATCATTGGGGGTAAAAGCATCCCAGCGCAACGTCGACTGCGGAAATCGGCTGTAATTTATTGCCCCGTTGTTGCTCTGACAGTGCATCTTGGAGCGATAGCTGAGTTAATTATCTGAAAATTACCTGATTCAGTAATTTTCATTCGCATGACAATGCTAAATGTTTACGTACAACTTTTTCGTAGGAAATTTAGCGTGTATAGCATTTTGCATTGTTAGAAAAAAGACGGTGTATGGAAGGTGCTTGCTGGGTTTTCAGTGTTGTACGATCGCGTGGGGTACTGAAACTTTATTTGAGCTGAACCTAATTAAGACAGATGGCAGCAATGGGAAAAAGACGGAAATTTCATAAGCGGATTCAAAAAAAGATCACAAATGTCGGATCCTCTTTTGGGCTGTTTCCAAGATCACAAACTGCGCGATATGTTGATAATTATCAGCAACATTTTGCCGACAACTACCCCAGTTGTCATCCAGTAGGCGTCATGAACGCCTTTGTCATCATTTGTGGATGTTTGTTTTTGCTATTACTCAAAGATAAAGTGAAATAATATATAACAAATGTGAAATTTACAGAATCCTTTATCTTAATGATAGAATAAATGCTGGGTAACCAAAGTATTTTACATTGTCAATCAGAAATTGGGTCTGTTCGTGTGAAATACACAAATGTTATTTACATCGTATCGATAAGTGATAGACAGTCGCACCGAGCTGACACTTACTCGTTGAAAACAGAGTACGTTACCAGAAGATTTAGAAGTATTTAAGTGTAAGCCCCTAAAAGTAAATAAAGCCATGTGCGTACATAAATCATAATTATCCCTATAGCTGCTCCCACAGCCCAGGAATCGCTGACTGAGAGATTAATTGCTGTTGCATAGTAGTATGGCCGTGCAGATAAGTCGAGCAAGATCCTCCTCGATTACATCCCTGATGGAAATAAGTCGATACGATGCGTAAGAAAAGAGAGAATACCAGAGACTTGATCACGTAGAAATTAAAGCTAAGAGTGCGATAACGGAAAGAGTCAAATAGGAACGAAAAAAATGCGCCCGATAGATGCGTGTGTGAAACAGGGAGAGAAGAAGGAAATAAACATAACAAAAAAGGCGATCTCGTAGATGTCGGTTGCCTTGCCTATTTCAAGCGGTAAGATCAGTAGTGTACGTCGCTGCGAACCCAGGTAACGTGAATATGGCCACTGTGGTGGCCATATGATGGTAGCAAGGCCGTCCTCTTCTCCTGTGTGAAGTCTCGCTATGGGCAAATATAGGACAGAGCTCGTAGAATAGCCGTTGGGGTTCGTCCCACAGCAAGTTGCGCATATGGGAGCCTAGCCACCACTGAAAACCATGGTGACTTCTGCCAGAGGCTGGATCCCATAGCAATTGTAGAGCTGCCGTAGTCAGCATTTAGCGACTACGGCGATCCCGAGTTCTCATTTCGCATCTGCTGCTTATGGCCCATTTAGTGCCGCAGCGAAAATTGCCAAAAGTGACCACAGCTGTGCGGGCCAAAAATAAATGATGCTTATATGAAAGGGAGAGATCAAAGTGTCGTAATGGGGCTGACGCCTGCATGCAAGCATGCCCGTAACACTACACAGCTGCGTCGCACACGTTCATGAGATGCGAGACCTTATGTGAAACAACGGGTTGACTGGACGCTGAATTGAGGCATAGCGCTGAAAACTTAGTAGGTTGCAAAGCAAGTAAGTTGTCATTAGGCGCCCCGTGACTTTTGTTATACAGTTCTTTAAGTACAGCAATAAGTTGAACAGAGTAAACGTCCGTCTATGTAAAGCCGCTGGTACCATGACAGAAAAGGAAATGTTGTGCTGACCTTCTCTAATGAACTGTGAATGTTTATAGCTTTGTTCTCTGTTCATTTCAGCTTTATCCCAATTCCCATCCGCAGACCTATTGAACTCCGTCGATGTCCTTCGTCAATACCCATGACTAGCGTCTCACGTCCCGCTGAGCACCGGGGACATCGGAACCACGGCAAGAAGAGCAGTAAGCAGATGCCAAAAGAAAAAAACAACCAATTACGTCAAGAATTAAATTACTAAACTGCACCGTAATACATCATTAGCAATATTATCGACAATATCAACTGACGTTCATGTCCGTATTCACAGAGCGTAAGCAGAAACGAGTATCGTAGTATTCAAGCTTGTGAAGATTCAAAATTCAACTCCTATCAGAGCTATACCAACGAAAATCACTAGCAAGCGAACAAAATCTCGAAAATAGCTATTTGACCAGATAAATTGAGCCAACATAGCATTACTCATCTCAGCACGCAACCACTTGATTATTAGAAAAAGTAACAAATCGGCACGACCCATTATCGTAATCAGTGTTAGATGATAACAGCAGCAGCAACAGTAACACCATCATAAACATCAGCAATGTCACAATCGCTCTCGCAGGCATCATCGCTAGGTCGGGGCTAATCCTTTATCTCGTAACGATTTTCTTCGTATAATTACTTCATAGCCATCGTCGAGCCGATAGCCCGGCCAAACGTCAACACTCCAAGCGTAGACAATCATCGTTGTGCATTTCCATACGGGCTCACAGTGAGACGTCTTCATTTTCGTCTGTTACGTGACAACGGGTACAAGCAATAAAACAGCAATAGCATCGCACCGAACCATCATCGTTGGCGCCGATTGCGGCTTAATCGTTCTTCAAGTGGTTCCTTTTTAACCGTGCCTGTCGTTCAACTACGTCGAGCACCGACGTAACAACAATACCTTCACGTTGTGTCGGCGTGATTCCAGCAACCGTGCAAGCTTTTCGATTCGAATGCGATAACACGTGACAAATAGAGGCCGGTGTCTCGAAAGAAAGTGGGACCAGTTGAAGATGGCTGCAGGAAGGACAAGGATCATACCGACGCAACTTCCCTAAGCGGCGCTGTGAGGGCGTCCCGTCGGCCGAATCCCGTCGTGGGAGCGGGGTAGGACCAGAACGGGCCGCGCGCGGTGCTCAACATCAACATTTTGTTCGAAGGATTTTCAAAACATCACCAGCCAAAGCGGACTCGTTGCAACACAGAGTAATATGCGACTTGCATCTGTCGTTGTATATCTGACAGTGAGATCTCAACGACGCAAAAAGGCCAGAGGAAGAGAATACAACGACGTTGACGGATAACTGTATAACACATACGGGAATACTAGACCAAGAGGATGAAAGAGACAACGTCTGATAGAAGAAAATTGCACCAGACATAAGGGGAACCTGAGACTGAGAGCAAGGAAAAGGTCAGAGCGCTAAAGGAGTCAATTAAGTTGGACGGAAAAAGCTGACATAAACATTGCAAAATTGAAAACCATTAAAAAAAGATAAGAGGACAATTAAATCATATAAATAACAACACATCATCCATTATTATCCAGCGATTAATAATAGTTTCTACGATAAAAGGCACAGTGACATCTGTTCATCAGCATGCTGCATCACATGATCAAACGGGAGGATTCGAACTCTTCAATCGGGTCCTCCTCCACACCTCCGCCAATGCTGTCGGCGTACTCAGAAGCCGCAACGGCGCTGTACAACAATGTCGTCAAGAGGTCCATCTCGCCCAATCAGGAAGAGCACATGAGCTTCATCAGCGAATTCGTAAGTTGGCTTCTGTATTTGGTAGGCATTAAAATTTGATAACAAGCACGTTCTTCGATTCGTCTGTAGCATTAAGGGATTTTCAGATAAAAAAAAAACACGAAACATTACAATGACGATTTTCAATATGGCAAATATTCTGTATGTTTTAGTTAGTTAGCTACACAAAGTGCTAAATAGTGATTCGCCTTTAGTGAATATGATTTGAAATTTTTGGAGATATCGAAACATCAATTACTTTGTCGACGTAGCAAGATAAGATTCGCCCCTCATTTCTAGTCTCTCGAGATGCCTCTTATCTGGAGCGTGTGCCCTTGCGATAGTTCAGGAGTATCGCGTTTGGCGATTAATTAATCCAAAGGACGCTTCTTTTTCGAGAGAGAAAAGATCCTGAGCGGAGTAATATTTTACTTCATCAGTAAAAATCCGAGTAATAAAAAGGGCGTGAAGATGGTAATCTTGTCTTATGCTCGGTGCCGCCAAATTGCTTCTCTTAAACCCCAGACTTTGATACGTTCTTGGAGCAATGCTAAAACCGCGCTATAGAAAGAACAGCTGAGAAAAGAGCTTCGGTTAGTTATGAAAGAAGTTTTGGCCAGTATGCGTGCGTTGCATTCACGACGTACGACGTTAGCTCAGAGCGAACCAAATGTTATTTACCGAACTAGATCATCTGTCGTGATGAATGTACCATTTCAAGTGCCGTTCTTTGCCTATATAAGGTCATAATCTCGCGAGTGCTCTTTTAGTTTAGTTCACGTGAGCGCTTCCATGATATTCGACAATATTCATGCGGTCAAATGTAGCTGAAGAGCTAACAACACGATGGCTATTATCTATTATTCAATCACTGAGGAAAGACCTCATTCTAAGTAGAGCAAGTCGTCAAAACGCTGATGAGAGCTGCGTGTACGCACTCGACGAGCACGTGGCGTACACGAGACTGATAGACTCTCCTTTCCCCTGCATCTGTATTGTGCCACCGTGTCACAGTGAAGGCATAACACGCACATGAAGACGGAGCGACATGTACCTACCATCTACAAGAGCGGGTGTCGAAACAATGACCCGTTTAGCCTAGCCTCCCCGCACCCGCTAACGTCTTACCTTCGCTTCAGTCCTTCCCCGTCGCGTCGACTAAGGAGTTATGGAAAGATGATGCTAACGGGATACATTGTTGTGCCGAATGGACGTGCCTCACAATCACTACGTATGGCCCGTCCATATTGCCTGCGAGGCTTCTCAGGAATCACCAGTGCCTTGACGACATAATACTACCTTGACCCTTCCTCCAATACACTGAAGCATTCGTGTGAATGCCGCCTACTTCGATTTACGACTATATTGGGACAGTGGTTGGGACAGTAACGCGTCCTTGTAGACCGCGTAATCGCACTTGCTTCGTCCAATAGCTAAGGTGTGGGGCAGTTTCATAAAAATAACAAAACAGCTAAAGCACAAGAAGAGGATAAAGTTGTCAATGCCTTTGTGAGAAACTGCAGAATTTAGGACAGGCTATACAGGACGGTAAGACGGCCTGATATGGGGAATTGTTTCGATGGTCGGTTGGCAGGAACGTTGTCGGAGAGCAGAAGGGGTCATAGACGGAGGAGACACGATGTAGGTAAATCAGCAGATTCATCCAGGTCCTTCAGCCGAGTCGACTACATATAGAGAAACAAACTAGCAAAGCGACCTGGATAGATACACGCACTGTTGGCGGTGGGATCACCTAACGACGAAATAGCTGACAGGGCGGAGTTTCTACGGTCCCAGTGGATCTTCCAAGGCCTAAGGAGTGAAAAGAAACAAAGCTTCAGCGATGAAGACTAAGAACGTAATGACGACGCAGCTGACAGATGGTGCGGGCAGTGGTTGTTGGGACACGTGTTATCGCTGCTGGAGAGGCATCTAGCCCGAAAGAACGTACATGTCGACGAAGTGTGCAGAAGACGAGAAGGGAGGCATCCTTCCTTTGTTCCTAACTAGCGCCAGTAATATTGCCTATCGGTGACACCAACGAATGACGAACAAAAAGAAGATAAAGGAAATGGAAGCAATAAGTTAGCGATTTACTACCGAGCAGAAGAAAAACGAACAGAGATTTCTCGTCAACATTTCGTCGATAACTATCCTAATGTGTCAATGAACGTCTTATTGTTGTAAATTAGCGATCCGAGTCTCTTTCCCTAGATAGGCCCTTACGAACTCAATGTAATTAAACACTCTCATATCGACTAGCTCGGCTTGATAAACCGTTGCATCATTTAGCCTTGAGATATTCTGTTCACGCTGCTTTGATTGGTGGGAGCCAAATAATGGTATTTTTTGAGAGACAAACAACGTTGGGTATGGCTAATGGGTTTTGCCAACCTTACTTTTCAAGATTAGATTAAATGTCCATCCACTAGTCAGTGGAACGGGCCGTCGAGTGTTGGAAGTAAAGGATCTAAAAGACCGAAATAACATGAGTAAGGTGCGCACGTCTGCTATTGGGGGCGATAATGACCCTGCCTTCTTCCAGTGGCTGTCTTGATCATTCTTTTTACTCCTATTTGGTTGTTTTCTGGCAATTGACCACTGAGAGATATGTGATTCGAACCCGAAGAAGGGAGGCAGAAATCGACGGGATGGGCGATTCGATAAAACGGACGCCTGCACGAATCCAATGAAGACGATGAGGACTATTATAGTTCTAGCGAAATATTTTGCCTTCTTGCACACAACCTCTTATTTTGGTTTCATTCATCATATGACATGTGTCATGTCTGTCTGTAGCGATAATCCATGAAGCTAAATGCTGACTCTCTACGATAGTTAACATAAGCCATCTTGCTGCGGTGGCAGGCGCCATCTGAACCATACCTCTGCCGCTCTTTAGCAAAGGGAAAAGGAAATTGGATCATGATCATTTTATCCATTGAACCGGCAGTCACAACAACGATTTGGGGTACTACATTGAATGTTTTACACGCCAAACTCACGCTGCATCTAGTACTTAGCCTCAGCGCAGGTGAGGGACGTCATCACTTTTGCGTCGGGTCTGTCTCGCGATCTGCATTGAAGATTCGTAAAAAAAAGCCGACTGAAAGCAAATGCTACGAAAAGACCTTCAAGCCACCTCAGAACCTTATTTTTGATTCCATTAGCATGCTAGCAACGATGGCTGCTAGTGCTGGCCATAGGTCCACCACTGCAACAAGCTGGTCTGGGCAAAACTCTTTTTGCCTAATTCCTATCGAGAGCTCGGTTTTACCATTGTCTTCGAGGGCCCGCTAGGATCATTCTGATATAATAACGTCAGGTATTTGAATCGTTCGGTTTTGCTCGATTTATGTTGCAGTCTGCCACGTTCTCCTAATCTGTAGCCAATAATGAACAAGTGATTTGATGGGCAGCTGGTTCTTCCCTAAAGCGATACGTGGGTTCATGGAAGATAAAGACTGAGAGCAAGTCACGTTAAACGTAGAAAGCTTACTCCAATCAGATGGCTCTAAGGGAATTGATAGCACTTTAAACGAAATGATCTGTCAGTTATTTTGATTGTGTTGCAAGATTACGATATGCTTCGTTTAAAAAATTCGAAACATCAAGTGTAACTATATATGAAGACAATCTATTGTTGCTATATGGTATATAGTACTGCTGTATATATATAGAACCTACTTTTCTAGTATTTTAACGGATATGATTTGAAATTTGAGGTGCCGGACGACTTCTGCCCCATGCTGTGTATGCATGTTTTATTGAAATTCTTATTGCAGACTATTGTGTACGATTCATCCTCCAAAGCAGATAATTAATTCTATAAAATTACGCTAGCTCTGCTTCTAGGCTAGACTACGACGTTTTTGCTGAGCGTAGCCAGCACCCAGCTATAAGGCATTTATGACCGTAGGCTACAACGGCCTTAAGCTGCTCGAAGGCATCCATTTCGCCGAGTATCATAGCCAGTAATTTACCGGCAACTTGTAGCAAGGTTTCAACATTAATATTTCTCACTTAATTAGTCAACACGCATATGTATGCTTATTATAGCATACGATATCAACGCTCGTCTAACGCTTTCTAGAGCTGGGCCATTCAAAAGTACGTGGAAAAAGTACTGCATGGCCTTCACACATCTATGGCTCACTACATCATTGTGGTCGAGACATTAAAATATTGTATTGGCGGGTCACATGGCATTCGGCTAGTCGTATTTGCAGCTAGTCGTATACAGCTGACGCTTATTAGCCTGTATAAAAAGTTGGAAGGAAGAAGCTACTGAGAGGCAAGGATAGATTGTTAGGTACAGGTACAGTACGTGGTACGAGTCTTCATGCGGGGCCTTGTGTTCGAGGCTTTTTGGAATATTAGAGCCTTGCAAAGGGTTCCATAAAATGTCGACAGGTGGACAGGGGCAGCGAATAAATGGTGACACGGTTTCATTCAATCCCAGCGCTGCTTGGCCGTTCTGAACGACACAGAACTTAGCGTCACTCACCAGTTCTACAAACGGGTAAATGCAGTTGTACTAGGGGGTGCCCCTTGCTTTCTGAACGTCGTTCCTATATAGGCAAACAGACGAGCAGGGTTCAATGTAACGAAGACAGGAAACGTGAAATCATTCGTGTGGACCATATATATGTGTACTACTATATACTATGTATAAGTCGATCAGCATGGTGGTAATTCTCGAAAGGGCATAACAATGCAAAGGAGGCTTTTTGATACAATATTTAGTTGACGATGAAGCATTGTCATCTGTCAAAGGTTCGCCAATTCCAAGTGTCGCTGAACATAACTTCTGTGTGTCAATATACTGTATTACTTTTGTATTGATATTGTAAAAAATTTCTCTCATAAGTTATATGGAATTCATGTCAAGTATATAAAGTTCATTGACACATTGCACAGGTCTAGAAGGGTGTCTGGGACGTGAAGCTGTATATCGTAATTATCCTGTTTATTATAACGAATAATAAAATAAATAAGAAAAACGTCTTTCAGGGGTTGAT